GAAGCCGGAGTGCTTCCGATCGCAGGTGTTCGGGCTCCCGATATCGAGGATCGAGGCAGTGATGAGGATCCAGCCCGGGACTGCTCTGTTCCTCTACGATTGCGAGCTCAAGATCCTCTACGGGGTTTACAGCGCTCTCTCTTATGGCGGCGCTAATCTTGTTCCCGCTGCTTTTGCTGGAAAGTATCAAGCTCAGGTGAGCAAAAAAAAAAAAAAAGAATTTTGTGATATGAGGGTCAGTTCTGAGATATTTTCTCTATATATGAAAGATTTAAGTGGTATAAATCTGTAATTTTGCATGAAAATATAATGCTTGTTTCAGGAATGTAATTTTATTTGGGTGACTTTGGCTTTTATCATTTTCATTTAATGGTCTATAACTTCTGAAATATGGTACTTAGTTGCATGCACACAGCTGCAGCACCAATAAGCCAGGCATTTTTGGATTCCTACTTGCAAATTAACCTACTGGGTTGATGCAATAATCCGATGCTATTTTCTTTAATTTTGCTGCTCCATAATTAACTATTGGGAGAAGATTGTGGCAATAACTATAGGATAATGTCAATTTTCATCCATGTTTGTTCAATTTGTGAACTTGGATTTCTCATGCATGAATTAATTTAATAAAATGCCAAGGTGATAAATTTATTGCTTTTGTAGTTAAACTTGGATGGCGCCTAAGAATCGTGGTCAACTCCTTAAAAACAAGGCAAATGTCTTCTTTTTAAATTTCTTTTGGGCAATTTAGCGATTGAATTTGAGGAAAAAATTATTTAAGAAAACACAGGATAAGTGATTAATTTGGCATATTCATTGTTATCAAATAAATCTTTTCCAGGGAAATGGGTCAATGTTGTATGTGTTTGATAAACCTTACTATGAGTTGTCAACTCTAATTCAATTTTGTGGCAAAATTATGACAAAGGAAACATGGATGGCGAAGGGGTTTGCCAAGTCTAGGTCAGTTGGCACGTAAAGGAAACGTGTTCTTTCGTAAGCTTGTACAAGCAAGGATCCAACATGCCCAGAAGAGCCTAGACTAAAACATGAACATAACCAAAGAGGCATTGGCCCATATTTTCGAATGGAAATTCGAAATTAGGTCGTGGATAACTTTTATTTTTTAAATTTGATATTAAAAATTAGATGGCTTAACAACCAGTCCCTCCCTTATAATATTTCTCTTTTTCATAATTTTCTAAAATACAAAAAAGAAAAAAGAAAAAGAAAAAAAGTCGGAGCTCACTGAATATGTGTGTGGATAAATTTTTATTCTAAAATATCAAATTCAAGATAGATAGATGGCTTACCACCAATGCCTTCGTTGTAATATCCCTCCTTCTCTTATAGTATTCTAAAAAAGAAACAAAAGAAAAAAGAAAAAGTCAGCGCCCCCTGTGTGATCACGACATCAAAGAGCTCTTTCCTCCATGCAAGAACTGTGAAGGTTGCATGTCCAACAAGGTCATCTTATATCGATGTTTTATTATAAAGGAAACTTCTTGAAATTTGTTATGAACTAAAGATGCTCTGAAGTTCGATGAAACATCAATATAAGATGACCTCGATATAAGTGGTTATTTCAAGTAGTTCATAATGAAACTTCTTGAGGTTGGTGGTTACTCGTGAAGACATCAAAAATGAAGCAACCAAATTTTTATGTGGCAGTTAGATGAGATAGAAGGTCTTCACGTGTAACCAATAAACAGTCCTCTCTATAAAAATTCAAATATAGAAAATTAAGGACGGGCACATGGCAATTTGTTGAGATATAAGGCTAATGGTAAACCAACAATCTCTCTTTATACATAAAGGAGAGGAGTTAATTTTAGGTTTAAAACATAAACAAGACGAATGAGGCATTCTCCCATGTTTTTCATCAGTTATATGAATCAAATTGGCTCTTTTTTTTGGCTAGTTGGGAAGAGTAAGGAGATTAGTCCAATGTTATAATTTCTACATTCTCACTGCTAATGGGTGGAATTATTTGCCTACTTTCTATTTTCCCATTTGCTTACTCTCCTCTTGTAGTCTTACTTTTGTAGTACTAATTTGTTTGGAATTTTTCTTTTCTGACTCGATGTCAAGTATTCCATTGTTTTGTCTGTATGCACTCCCATACTCTAGCATTCTAAGTTAAGATGTACAATGCAGGTGAAATTCCGGATAGAAAGAAATTGTCATCCGCTGCCTGAGAGTGCTTTTAAACATGCTATACAAGAGAATTACACCAGAAAAAGATTTAGACCTGATCTCAATTACTATCAGGAAAGTTGGCATCTTTGATAGACCGATGTTGCGTTTTACAGTAGAAATAACTTAGTTTTTTACTCAAGAAATCATGTGCTCAAACTCATAGATTTGTATGTTCGTTCTTTGTGCAGGTCAGCAGATTGTTGTCCTTGTTCCAGAATGCCACAGCACCTCCTCGTCAACCTCCACCCCTTGTTGACTCCCAATATGCTCATCAGACCGTGAGGCACCAAACTTCAATAGATTCGCAATACGTGACAGCAGTGCTCCTACCTCCTCCCATGAATAATCACTATCATTCTGCGCCGCAGCCCCCTCCACCAGTGTGGCCATCGACTGCACATGCAAATTATGCAACTCAAGCACCATTGCCGCCATCTAATGATCAGTACTATTCTGCACCTACGTATTACCAAGCTAAAACATTGCAGGCCTCAAATGGTTGTCAGTATTATCCTACGCCTCCCAACTACCAAGCTCTGCCGCTAACTGCAGGGCCAAGTCAGCTGTGTTATCCTGTGCCTGCAGGAGGATCCACACAGGATTACTACCCTGGAAATGTTGTCCAAGCTTAGAGGTGTGTACTCTGCCTGGATCTAAGATTGATTACTTGTTCATAACTATGCAGTTAATTGCTAAGGTTGTCATTTTAAGAACAACTATTACATCAGTATCCAGCATCGTTTACTTGACATTAGGTTCTGAAATTTCTCATTGTCAAGCGGCTTTAGAAGTTCATTTCACTTTTATTAGCATGCTTGTTTGTTAGATGCAGAACTTGTAGCTGATAATACTTACGTCAATGCAGTTTTTGTGACACCATTGTTTCATTTTAACTAGGTGTGGTGGAATTGTCAGTTCTTATTTCTATGTAAAGAGAGAAGAGAAACATCATGTTCTGGATAAAGCCCTACATGCAGTAAATCTACATCTAGAAATTAGTTTGGTACTTGAGTCCATGAAATTGATATTTTTTTAATCAAGCATTGAAGCTGTAGGTGCTGAATTTTTATTTTTATTTTTTTGTTTTGAACTGTTGGGTGAGTTTTATATTCGAGGAGTGAATCTCATCTGATGGGTCGGTTGAAAGAGCTATAACTGAAGTCAACTTGGGATAAGATATGTTGTTTACCCATTGAAAAGCACATCTAAGTGATGATTGCATCATAGGCTAGGTTCGTAGAAGGGCCAGATCGATCTGAGATAAATTTAAAATGGTAAGCGAATGAATCCTATCGAGGCATCATAACCTAGTTTAGCAACAAAAAAGCAAAATAAAAGAAAAAAGGTGGGTGCCGATTATGTACCTTCGAGAGGATTAGTTCTATATTTTACTAGTTGAGGCATGGTCATTATTAATTGCCATAACGTCGACTGATTTTATACTCTACAATGCTGACAAGCCCCAGGATCTCTGTTGTATAATCACTCACAAATTTGTTTTTATTGGTTTTTGTCGGCAATTTATCTAGGGGAAATGGTTATAATTAATGGTGTTTATTCTTCCTTGTTGTCTACAGGCTAAAGTCCAAGTGGAATTCAGCTGAAATGAATGATCAGTGTTCCGTTGCTGTTCTTCGACTCACTGGCCTGAAAAGTATCATCATGTATTTATGTAACATAGGCGTCTTACTTTTTAGGACCCTTACTCGAGAAGCTACTTACAAACTTTGCTAATCAGCGTATAGCTGCTGTGTTTCTGTGTTTATATGTCATCTAGACTCGTGTATGGGACACATGACTAAGCATCATTTCTAATGTTTTGGCTCTCTTCAATTTGATGTTTCCTCTGTGATATACCATTTGGTTGATATTAAGCAGTTCAGAAGTTAAATGGGTATTTTAAGCTTCATTGTGAACCAGCCTAAAGTCGTGATTTTTACGTCTATTATAACATTTTATATACCCTCACCATATCAGCAGTCAATGATTTGAAGATAAATCATTTCTTATACGATTCCAAGCAAATTAAGCTGTGGTGTTATGCTAAAACTTCCACATGTGAAGATATGAACTGCGCAAACAATTTTATGACCCTTTAAAAGCTATGATTGAAGGAACCCTGTTAACCAAAGTGGAAGTGGTGGGTAGTGAACAAAATGCACATATCAATATATTGGCAAGTCTGCACAAGCTACACTTGCAAAAACTAAAAGCACAAAATGCAACAATCCTTGCATAGCTCAGAATTCTCTACGGGCAGAGGTGTTTGGCTGCTGAGTGATCCACATCAACAACGAATTAGAACAAACACACATTACAGCCACAAGCAGTGACATTAAATCACAACATAGTAAGAAATATAGACAATCATTCATGCAGCAAGTTACCAGCAGCACTTACATTGTGGGTGATGACATCAACGGCATGAAACTGAATCACCACATCCTATTTACATTATTCATGCATCCAACTAACTACCTACAGCATTCACATTCTGGAAACATGACCACATACACCAATGGTATGAAATCGAATCACCACATAGAAAGAAAAATAGACAATCACATCTGCGTCGAGCATCCTATTTACGTTATTCATGCATCCAACTAACTACCTACAGCATTCACATTCTGGAAACACAACCACATTTTAAGACGACAACGCTAGTTTTTCTCCAAGAACACACCCTCTCTACCTAAATAACCATCATGGCTAATAAGAATCAGCACGAAACAGCGCAAATCAAGAAGAGCATTGACCCCCACACCTTCTTAAAACGACTTTCAATTACACTTGCCATCACATTTTCTCAATCTTGTCTGCCTTCACAGCAGGATTTGATTTAGCAATAACCTCCTTACCGATGCTCTTGTAGTCCAACGAACAATCATGAGTCTCAGAGTATCGGTGAGTAGAGCAGAAAGTGCCCCCACATCTACATTTAAAGCCAGTTAACCCTACCCTTTTACTACAAAGTGTACACCGATTTGATGATTTCTTGTTCAATTGCTCTTCTGATTGATTCTTATCAACAATATCCACACAGGTTTTGCCTGAGTTAGCAGTCTCTTCCTTAACCAGCTCAATTTCAACTTTGGCAGAAGATGATGAAGCCACAGATGGTGATTTCTCCATTGATGGAGCAAGAGGAGTCTCTAGTTGTTGCTTCATGGTGAGGTCTCTATAGCATTTTGAGCAGAGATTATGTGTAACTGAACTTCCAAAGAATCCGCAGTTGTTCGCGCAGAGAATTGGGCCTTCTCGCTTTTGGAATTCGGTTTCATTGGTATCATTCTTCCAATTGTCCTGTGCCATTTCTTCACAGCTATTGCAATGAGAACAAGAAATGAATAAGAAATTATGCATCTTTGATTTCAGTCTAAACAGAAACTAGTTTCAACACAATCTCGGAGTGCACAAAGTTTGCAGGGATTTAATAATCCAATTAAAAGAGACTTGTCGATTAATATAGTTTTTATCAGCAATCAGGAGATGAAATTAACGAAGGAGCTGTGATTAACTTCCACTAGAATTACCCAAATTAAGTAGTTGATTCAATCACAGAACATAGCACAATTAACCCAAAAATATATAGATATAATAAAATAAAAACATAGAAGTAATGAAATGATCGAGATCAAATTACTGTCAAAAGCATCAAAATTTCTCAACCCGCATCCAATTACTTACCGAAAGAATCACAAGCCCTTACTCTGTTTACTCTGAAACGAAGCAAAAAGCGATCGTTTCCACAATGGAGGGCAAAATTAAACTCAGTGAATGGATCAAGAAAAGCTCACCTTGAAATCTTCACACGATCTCCTCCTGAAACAGAGAATCGATTGTTATGCGATTGAGGGGTAGGGTTAGGGTTTTAAAAGGATGGGATTTCTTGATGATAATTTTGATGTTCTTATGAGTTTATTTTGTTTATTTATATAAGTAAATAATAAATAATAAATAAATAAATAAAAGAGGAGGATGTTGATGTTTGCAGCCCATTTCCATGAAAAATCTCTATGTGATTGGCCCGTGAACGGAATCTTCTCTTCGCGCTGTACGGGCATCGCGGGCAGCTGCCCGCCCATATAATGATTGGCAAAGAATATTCCAATATTGGGGGATTAAAATGTTAATTAAAAAGAATCAAATAGACGTTCATAGCACGTTTGATTTGGGTGAAAAATGTGTCAAGGCCCCCCAAAAAAGAAAGCTCGTGTGGTCAGGCCTATTATTATTTTTCATGTGAGACAGCCCCTAATGCAGTAAATAATTATGTTTTAACCCCTATGTACTCTTCCAAGTCAGCACAGAGAGAAATGTTTTGCGAAAACTCAACTCTACCCCTTAATCCATTCTTTCTCTCTCTTCTCTTGCTCAAACCTCATAGACCTAACCGAGATATGATCCCTCACCGACGTCGGTACGATGACCCGCCTCCTTCACGAATGCATCACCTACCAGCTCTCTCTCGACGTCCGCCTCGACTCCCTCCTCTCCTCCCGCCCCGATCTTGACCGCGGCCTCCTCGCACTTCGTCGCTCCTCCTTCCCTCTCCTCTCCCTCGCCCTCTCTGATTCATCCCTCCTCCTTTCCTCCCTCTCCTCCATCGCCTCCCTCGCCGATCAAGTCTCCTCTCACATTTGCCAACTCGACCTTGCCCAGTCTCTAGTGCATCTTGCCATCTCCCGCATCGATGCTGCACTTCGTTGTTCACAGTCCCTCGACGCCGCTCGAGATCGCTCAATGTCAAAGACTACGACTCTCTCACTGCATCAAGAATTTGTTGTTCGTTGGGGTTCTCTAAGGGTCGGATCCAAGAGAGGTAGAGACTAACTTAGAGGAGATATTGTCATTAATGCATTTGGGGGACGATTATACTGAGTTCATGATGTCGAAGATCAAGGGATTGGGGTTAGTTGTTCCTGAATTTGGTTCAGAGGTTGTGAAAAGATTAAGTACTGGGAGTTTTAATGGAGTGGTGCATGAGCTAATTGAGTATATTTGGTCCTTGATGGGTTCTTTATGGTGGAGAATGTGAGGAAGGCAATATCAATCGATGAGTAGCAACTAGATAGTCTGACAACATCAATGGTGGTTCGTGTGATTGTATGAGTCTGATATTTCATACATATACATTAATGTCATCGCATTTCAGGTAAATATAATACACTAGAGAAAGTATGAAATATTTTAACTACTCTTGCCGATGAATCTGGTGTCATACGTGTCAGACTTGCAGGTGAGCTTCTAATGGAAGGATGAGGATAGAAGAATCAAGCAGAGTCATTAAATAAGGATGGAGAGAAATTTATTTCAAAAATTAATTGATTATAAAAACTTGTGTAGAAATATAAGACTGGGTCTATCTAGCGACGGATTCAATCCATTTGGGGTAATGAGCTCTAGTTGGTCTACGTAGCCAGTTGTATTAATGCCATATAATTTACCTCCATTGCTTTGTATGAAATAGCAGTATATGATACTTTCATTACTGATACCCGGTAAGCACACACCGGGAAATGTTATTGATGTCTACTTAGAGCATCTAATTGATGAGCTGAAACAATTATGGTTTGATGGTATTTTAGCATATGATGCCCATTTAAAAGAACCGTTTAGATTACGTGCTATTCTATTGTGGACGATTAATGATTTTCCAGTTTATGCTAATCTGTCCGGGTACTCTACAAAGGGCAAGTGTGCTTGTCCTGTATGTGGTCCGGAATTTAAATCTCTTCAATTATCACATAGCCGAAAGAGTTGTTATTGGTTTAATCGAAGGTGGTTGCCCTTGGCTCATAAGTACAGGAAATTATTAACTATGTTTGATGGCATAGTTGAGAAGAGAATGAAGTTGTGTCAGCTGATAGGTAATGGGATCGTAAAATTACTTGAGAGCTTTCCAAAAGTTAGGTTTGAAAAAAATCGTTATTCTAAATTCAACCAGCTCGGAGTTAGAGATTCCTTAAAGTCAAAAAAAAATCATTGAAGCAAAAGCGAAAGGTCCACAAAATGTAAGTTGAGGACGAAGCTGAAAATTACCTAGAGGATGGACTAAATTTAGTATCTTCTTTTAGCTACCTTACTGACAAAATCTTAAAATCCGACACAATTTAGATGGCATGCATATTGAGAAAAATATATGTGATAGCATAGTGTCAACTCTCCTACAAGATTCAACAAGTCAAAGGATGACCTACGGGCGTGCCAAGACCTGACTGTTTTGAATATCCGGAATGATTTGCAAGCTCAAGATGTTGGCCTTAAAAAATTAAAGTTATCACTGTTTCGTGTTACAATGTTAAATAAGCAGATGCATCGATTTTGTGAAATTCTCAAATCGGTAAAGTCACCGGATGGTTACTCTGGTAACATTTCAAATAATTTTCAGGTGCAAAAGAGAAAACTCTTAGGTCTGAAGACCCATGATTATCGCGTTCTTCTTCATTAATTGCTCCCAGTTACAATCCGTAACAATATGGAAAAAGAACCGTCGAACATTATTATTAAGTATTGTGGATTCTTTAGAAAATTATGCTCTAAAGTCATAGATATAGATGAATTTAAAAAACTTGAAGCTGAGGTCGAGTTACTCTATGCAATATGAAAGTAATATTCTCTCCTTCATTTTTTATAATCATGGTCCATTTTACACAGCATCTTGCAAGAGAGGCTAGAATCGTCGGTCCTGTTACTTATCGTTGGATGTATCCAATTGAAAGGTTAGGGTTTTTGTTACATTCATTAATTATATATGCATTTCTAAAATTATCTTGCTAATAATTACCTCTTCTTATAACTTTAAGATATTTGGGCTCCATGAACACAATGTTCGCAATCGAGCTCGTCCCGAGGGGTCGATAGCTGAAGGATATGTGGCTAACGAATGTTTTGTATTTGCATCACGTTACACGCGTAAGAAGAAAACCACATCTCAAGCATCCGATAAGGAGAGGAAGCGTGAAAAATATCAAATATCTCTCTTAGATCAAACTCATGCATATGTGTTGGAAAACCTTGATATGTTCAAAGACTATCGAATGTAACTAATTAAATCAGTAATATATATGAGAAATATTCATTTTACATATAGTTTATTAATACAAACTTATGTATTGTTTATATAGGCGACATCTGGAGAAGCTTAAGAATGAAATAACCGGTAGAAATGCAGTGTATAATATTCAAAAAAGACATAAAAAAATTTCTGATTGGTTCAGAATTGATGTAAGTGTTTTACAATTAATTGTTAAACATTCATAATATAACATCACCTAAATATTCTCAAATTATTTGGCTTAGGTTGAAAAATCACTTCTTGATGGCACTATATTACCAGATGAAATGATTATTCATGCACAACGCCCTTATCACGAAGTGAGCCATTATAATGAGCATTTGGTCAATGAATATAAATTTCGAACGCTAGACCGATGATAGGAGGGTAACCCGGAATAGTGGGGTCATGAGGTTGTTTGCTCAAGAATGTTTATCAAGTACAAGAGATTAGAATCCAATTCTAGCTAACATACTATATTATGGCCAATTAGAAGATATTGTTGAGGTAATTTACCTGTTTGGTAAACCAAAATAATGTAGTTACATGATGTTCAAGGTTCAGTGGTGTTCTGCAAAAAAGTAAAAGGATCATTATGGATTTACACTTGTCAATCTCCATCAAGAAGTATATACGGATGAGAAAATTTTATTTTTGTAGAACAAGCTGATTAGTGCTTCTTTGTGAAAGATCTGAATGTCATGTCTGATTGGGTGGTTTTGTACAAGGAGCCAAGATCTGTTGCATGTTCTTCCTAATAACAATGAAAAAAATATTGAAGAAAGTGAAGATAATTATAGTGAACCAATTGGGTCATAATAACAATGAAAAAAATATTGAAGAAAGTGAAGATAATTATAGTGAACCAATTGGGTCATCTGATGACGTTTGGCAAGAATAATTATAGTGAACCAATTGGGTCATCTGATGACGTTTGGCAAGAATTCTCTTACACACAGAATATGAAGCTTGATGTAGGTATGAACTATGTTACACTCCATTATCGATAGTCAAAATATAATAATAAAATCAATAATGCATTTCATAATAATATATCTATGTATATATTTTTTCCTTAACTATGTTAAAAATTGAATTTGCAGATGAGGAGGGCGAGGAGGCTCTTCGGTCCGGAGGGTGATCGATCATGAAGTATCACCCTGGGTATTGGTGCTGATGATACACCACCATCTCCAAATGTAGGTATAAAAATTATTTTAATATTTTTTATAAATTATTAGTTATCTAGCTCATAGTGTTCATTTGTTGCATATACGGGTTATTCATCACCCGGCCCCTCGGATGCAACACCAAAACTATCCCCTGACGCATGTATTCATTATTTAATATTTGATAATGGTCAATTTAAAATTTATATTAATGATTCTCTTTTCTTACGCATGTGCTACTTGGACCCCGACATTTCCTTTGTATACATTCCATACTGACTTGCGTTCGAAGGCGCACGACTATCTCAGTTTACCCTTCCTTCCGGACTCGTCCAAGGCAGACTCAAGGAAGTACCACCCACGTGCTGTGAGAAAGTTGGAGGAAATAATTCCTATGTTGGGGACTAGGAAAGTTGTTGCACTCGCAACAAAAGAAAGAAAGCTAACGAAAGGTAAATTGTATAAATACTTTTGATTTTCACATTTATATAATATATGAAATATTATCAAGTTGTTATTATTGTAGGTGCTAAGCCAGATTGCATAGAGGGACGACGTGGTGGAGGTAAGCCTGAGTCTAAACAACCGCCAAGAGGAATTAGGGACATTATTCGATGGAATAGTTATAATTTGCCCGCTGGTCCTTGGTCGTCTAGATTGAGTGCATATATTGGGGTTCTCGTACGTAGAGCGAACATCATCAATCCTTATTTTTATTTCCGAGAACTACCATGGACCACATACGAGGCGATATGGAATGAGCTTATGGTAACTTC